AAGCCCACTCACTGTCGGTGCCACCTTTCACACCTAGGTACCACTTGTCGGCGAGTGAGCTTCCCAGCGTACGCTTGATGTAGCTCCACCCGCCGATGCCGCCATTGTGCATCCACATCAGGGATTGGTGCTGGAACGGGTGACAATTGTTCTCAGCAAGAGCACCCTCAGTTGTTGCGCGCACATGCGCAAAAATCAGATCTGAGCATGTCTTTGCGGCGAGTCGCTCTAGATTTTCACAGTTCCAGGCTGGGAGTGTTGAAGTAAAGATGCAAGGTTCTGGTCCAAGCTTGGGATCTGTGTAAAAGCCTACACCAAACCCGTCACCGTTGACAGGACGGCGATTGTCCTTGATATTGCATGTCAGTGGGTTGCAATATTTTGACAACATGGATCTGACCTACCAGTCTCAGACGTGAATCATATGATTGAGTAAGGATTGAATGACTTGGCTCGGTTATCAGCTTACTGAGACGGATCTCATTCCGCCCTTTGTATATCTGATCGAGATATTAGCTTTAAGTTCAATGCTTGGAAGGATGGTCCTTACCAGGAAGCGACACATGTTTGGTCTGGATCAAATCCAATTGCAATGACACTGTATGAGATACCACTTTCAAATTCGCTAAAAGCTTTAAGGTGTATACCAAACTTGTCGTTCGAACAAAGCCGTACTCGTGATCAAAGGATGTATCAATAGACTCGATTTCGTGGGGGTCGGGATGAAGAGTCACCGACTATTGGGAACCGGTGAGATGCCCAAACGTCAACCAAGATCTTACAGCCCAATGTTGATATATCAAGGTATAATTTTGCCGCGGATTACAAGGAGGAAAGAATGTTTTTATCAAAATCAACACAAAAGAATAAAGTCACTTCCCTTGCACAGCACGTCATGTTTCACGTGACTAGAATATTACGGGAGGCTACGCGGCTACTTGTGCAAGTCACGGGAACTGTTACATAAGTTATGCCTGATGTCAGTGATCCGGTATTCTACAAGGCCGTCACTTTTATTTCTATCTTCTATTGAATGCTACCACAACAATAATGAGTGGGAGGATCCTCTCCCATCGACTAGGACCGCTATTGCGGAACGGTCACCTAACTCGCCATATCCATAATGCAGGTTCAAGGACCGGCGGCCTGCTACGGGCAGATGGTGGCGCTACTCTCAGAGGACGCGCATGGCCAGTGGGCGCAAATGCCATCCACAATGTCCCTGCAGTTCGATCAATCTCATTTGCTCGAATGCTTCCGAAGCTAGCATTAAAGCTTGTCAAGGTTCCGGCCATGTTCGGCGGTGCGACAATCGCCGGTCTGGCTTATTTCCAATACCAAGCAACTCGTACGTCTCTCGTCCATGGAGCTCGCTACAAACAGAATCTCAAGCTAATTTAATCTCACAGAGGCCGGTAACTATGCGATGGATGTCTTCAAGCAAGCCTCGGAGACTGCGGGGAACACAGCTTCGAGCTTGTTCCAAGGACTGCAGGACATGGCGGATCAGACACAACGCGGGTGGAGCAAGACGACTGAAGATATTGACATGCCTGACTGGCTACAGAAGATCCTACGTCTCGATGAGGAGTCTGAGTCTCGAAAAGGCGATTCATCTGGTGGTGGAGGCAAAGAGCCGAAACAAAGTCGGGCTGGTACTGCTGCCGCTGCTGCCGCTACTACCACAGCGTTTGGATACGATCAATCGGGGGAGGAAGATCTACGACCGGGGAGAGATGCTGCGGAGGATGATCAAATGATGCTGCTCACACGCAAGATGATCGAAATTCGAAATATTCTCCAGACCATAGGCCAGTCTGGCACGCTCACTCTTCCGTCGATCGTCGTGATTGGATCCCAATCGTCGGGCAAAAGCTCTGTTCTTGAGGCTATCGTCGGCCATGAGTTTTTGCCCAAGGGCTCGAACATGGTGACTCGGCGGCCAATCGAGCTCACGCTGGTCAACACCCCCAACGCTCAGGCAGAATACGGTGAATTCCCGACCCTTGGTCTCGGAAAGATCACGGATTTCTCTCAAGTTCAGCGCACACTCACAGATCTGAACCTTGCTGTTCCTGAAAAGGATTGCGTCACAGACGATCCCATTCAGCTTACGATATATTCTCCCAACGTTCCGGATCTTTCTTTGATCGACCTGCCAGGGTATATCCAGGTTGCGGGCCGCGATCAGCCCCCAGAGCTCAAGCAAAAGATTGCTGATCTTTGCGATAAATACATTCAGCCGCCAAATGTCATTTTGGCGATCTCGGCCGCCGACGTTGACTTGGCAAACTCGACAGCACTTCGAGCTAGTCGTCGAGTAGACCCTCGGGGTGAGCGGACTATCGGCGTGATTACGAAGATGGACCTTGTCAGCCCCGAACGGGGCCACGCTGTTCTTTCCGATAAAAAATACCCCCTTCGGCTAGGTTACGTGGGTGTTGTTACCCGGATTCCTCAGACAACAGCTCTATTTTCTAGAGGCTCTGGAAACATTACCAGCGCCATTCTCAAGAATGAGCATGCCTACTTCTCTGCGCATCAAAATGAATTCGGCCCCCACTCTGACGTCTCAGTTGGTGTTTCGACACTGCGCAAAACGCTGATGCAGGTTCTTGAGCAGACCATGTCATCTAGCCTGTCTGGAACCAGAGACGCCATCAGCCAAGAGCTTGAAGAGGCAACCTATGAGTTCAAAGTTCAATATAACGACCGGCCTTTGAGCGCGGAGTCTCACTTGGCTGAGAGCCTCGATGCTTTCAAGCACTCCTTCAAGGAGTTCGCGGAGAGCTTCGGGCGCCCGCAGGTTCGGGAGATGCTCAAGGCAGAATTGGACCAGCGGGTCATGGACATTCTGGCGCAGCGCTACTGGAACAAGCCAGTCGATGACTTGGATCCTCCCCTGCTGGAATTAGATCCCCTGAAGGATCTTCCCAAAGCCGATGCTGAGTCGCTATATTGGCACCGGAAGCTTGATGCTTCTACCTCATCATTAACAAAGCTCGGAATCGGTCGCTTGGCAACGACAGTTGTCGCCAACGCTCTCAACAACCATGTGGACTCGCTTCTAGCCTCGTCTACATTCGCCTCCCACCCTGGTGCCCGCAAACAGATCACCGACGCATGCACCAGTATCCTGAATGACAAATTCTTCAGCACCAGCGATCAAGTTGAAAATTGCATCAAGCCATATAAGTTTGAGATCGAGATCGAAGATCCTGAATGGGCCAAAGGCAGAGACAACGTGGGCAAAGTTCTAAAGGAAGAGCTCAAGTCGTGCGAGTCGGCCATGAAACATGTGGAGGACACTGTTGGAAAGAGAAAACTCAAAGATGTTATCGCGTTTATCGACAGAGTGCGAAAGGGCGAAGTAGTACTAGAGGGCAACGGTGAGGGTGGTGCGGGTGGCTTCAGTGCCTCCTTGTTGGAGAGAGGTTGGTATTTCCCTCTTTCTTCTATTTACAGACACTGACATACATTATCTAGGACGGGAAGGTCTATTCCTTCGGGACCGAGCGGATCTTATCAAGATGAGAATTCTCGCCGTCCGGTCAAAGCAATGCGCATCGCAAAAGAACAAGTACTACTGCCCAGAGGTCTTCCTGGATGTTGTGGCAGATAAGCTCACCTCCACGGCCGTGCTATTCCTCAACGTCGAGCTCTTATCTGAGTTCTACTATAATTTCCCCCGTGAGCTTGATTCAAGACTTGGACGGCACCTTTCAGACGAGGAGGTCGAACGGTTTGCCCGCGAGGATCCCCGCATCCGCCGTCACTTGGACATCATCCGCAAGAAGGAGCTGCTGGAGCTGGCTCTGCAGAAAATCGAAGGCATCCGACAGCTTGACGGCCGCTCCCGGAAGTCAGAGCGTGCGCCTCCTGGAAAGGAAACGCGGAGCCGTTGGAACCTTTTCTAGAAGATATGATGTTTGGGGTTTCAAGAATCTTAGCCCTATGCGGAATAATCTGAATTTTCGATACCTCTACTAGTTCTCATCACTCTCTTTATCCTGTTTAGCCATCCTCCCCCCTTACCCACCCTTTTGGGATACTAGTACGTATCTCTAGATGTTTTGAAGTCAATGTACATAGCTCTAGGCCATTCATCCCACAATCGATAATCTATTCCTTGAATCCATTCTCCATTCTTGATCTGTAAAAATCTTAGCTACTACGGAGTTTAGCCGGTACACGGCCCACGTATGAACACATAGCAGGTAACCTGTCATCGCAAATGAGGCATCCTATCAAAGGGCCAAATTACACGAACCCCATCCACTCCGAGGACAGTGCTCCCTCTCCCCAGTCGTTGATTATTTGCTTCATCTCCTCGAGATCATGAAGGATGCGCGCCAGGCTGTTACTCTCGCGAGCCCAAAGATAGTACCTGCCGTTTGATTCAAAGATAGTGTCGCAACAATCTTGAGACACGAGTACCGGCCATGCGCTCTTGGGCACCGTATTCTCCCTTCCATTCATCGTAGTCAAGCATCATTGGATCACTCGAGAATCCAAGAGGGTCAGTCGGGGCCCACTGTTGACATCAGCTTTGGCTTTGATAGAAGGGGAATGGTTGTACTTACCCGTGTCGGTTTCGTGCCGTCCATAGGCAAGCTTTTATGGTGTGAGCAATCGTCGATAAAGATAGCTCACCCTATGTAAGAAAGAGTGAATGCCTGAAACAAAGAAAGCATATTTATAAAACGACATGGGATAGTTTGATTGTGCTTTATTTATCCTTCTTTCATAGTACCTGCTATTACTCGACTATTTATAATTACGGCAGTCAGATAGATCTATATTTGTTCGTCTTGGATCTTAATGTTTCAAGGCATTCAATAACTTTGGCCTTTGATAATCCACGCTATTTTGAAATCGACATGTCTTTCATGACGACTAATAGGTTCTTGACAAAGGAACGAATCGCCAATATGCAATTATTTATACGGTGACATACCCACCAAACTACATAGAAGAATATAACAATCGCAATATCAACAATGTCAACAACCCCGATAACCCCTTCCACCGAGGCACAATTGCCGGCTTTCAATGACCAACTGAACTTGAAAGTTGCGCACGATTGGGAACTAGCACAAGTGAGTTGCTGCAACTGTAGATTTCTTCAATTTTCCCAGGGGATAACCAAGCTAACTACGTGCAGATTCAAGATTTCATGATCGACGTTATACATAACCCTTCTACCTATGGGGTGAGACCGAACCTCGTATCAGAATTGGGAAGACTACACACCGATATTCTCGGCCTCAGGTGAGTTTAATGTTCGCCAAACCCTATGTTCTATCAACTAATTGGATTCTTGCAGCGAAAATGGGAGCAAATATCTGTCTGATACCATCTACCCCCAATCGATTTCAAGGAGACTTAACCCAGCGCATAACAGGAAAAGACCATACTACATTCTGGAACCCATGATATATGGAGGTATTCCATATTGGTGCTCCTATGACCTTCTAGGTAGGTTCCTTTCCATTATTAGCCCAGCACCCCAAGGTGCCACACAGAAAAACTTCTATTTACCTCTGACGCTACTGTACGCCAATTGGTGTACCAAGATAGGTCCGATTGCCCCGTGGGCGTATTCCTGCGTCTGGGCAGAGGAAGAGGGTAAATCGAGTCGCTTTCAACTGGGAGGATCGCTCGCGGGATATCACAATATGAAAAAGGATGGCTACCACTGGGTGAAACGTCTGCACCAAGCCCGTTTCGATATTCTTCGCGATGAAAGAATTGACGCAGCGGAAATAACAGTAAAGACTGTGGAGAAACACGAGCTAGAAAGCAAAGTTGTTCCTTATGGAAACTGCGGAGAAACCTATCCTCTCACGATCATGCTACGGTGAGTCTATTCTTTGAGATCCTATATGTTCCATACTAACGAATTAGGAACCGTGACCCTAGCCAAGAGGTATATGGTCTTGCAGTGAAGCGTACTAAGCTCCGTAAGGAACCATTCGGAGACCGATTCAGCGATCCAGAGGGATCGATGGTATTGGCGAGACCTTGCGAAAAATGTCAAAATGTGATAGCCATCTGGGGTGGAAAGGTAGAGAACTTCATCACAGATGATATGCCAGAGAGATTTGGTGCGGCGAATCAGCAACAGGATGCACAGGATGCACCGGCTGCAGAACAAGGTCATGAACCAGCATCTGAATTGAAGCTCACTTTACCGTCCCGTCCTGAACAGCCTGCTCCGGCGGATCGCATCGATGAATTTTTTGCGAAAACGGTCATAGACGAGCCGCCTATTTCTGAAAAATCACCGTCCCCTTCTAAACGGCCTGCTCCAGCGGATGACACCGCTGAACCTGCGGCGAAAAGGGCCAAAGGTCTGAGGCCTGTGGTTCGTTTGCCTTCAATGGCACCACCGAATCTCGAGAAAAAAGACAAAAAGTAGTGAAGATAAGGGGGCTTGTAGAGTTCAAAAAGCACTGTTTTTAGAGATTTTATAGATATATAGATGTATAGATGTATAACCTTGTGTAGCTTATGAAAAACAAATGTGATTATTCGGAGGAATGATCTTCTTAGTCTTATTAGTAGCCTCCAATTATCGAGCTCTTACACCATTATCTCTTTTGCCTTTAGCATCCACATTTTAAAGGGACAGAGGCCCTAGAGATATACAGACAGCTCTATGTAGTTAGGCCGGTTCCTCTACGTGAGATTACCCCACTAATTCGAGATCCCTCATTGCTTATTGCTTATTATCTTTCCTCTTACAAGCGCTTGGTATCCGAAAAATGGGGTTAAACAACTTTCCCGAAGAAGTCATAGAGATAATTCTCATATTGGTAAATGACGAGCAGACACTCTTACTCGCCCAACGAGTCTGTCGACGCTGGGCCCGTTGCATCCAAGACTCCCAAGCACTCCAGCAAGCCCTATTCTACCAGCCTATAAAATCCACTCTCCCAAGGACAACCACCCCACGACGAAATCCCTTACTAGCAGCGAAGTTTCCATACTGGTTCCCCAATGATAATCAGATACCTCGGGATATTTTATTTGGGGCTGGGGACATGCAAGAGTTTCTAGACAAACATGCCGCATGGCTCCATCCAAGCGCAAGTTGGCGCCGAATGCTGGTCCAACAGCCCCCGGCAATGTCGATGGGCTGGGTAGACCGCCAAGAGAGCTCTATCCACAATATAACTCTGCGCCGGTGGGAACTTTCACTGGAAGAGTATGGCGGGCTTCGTATGAACATGATTTACGACCTGGTTGTCAAATCCTCGGACCAGGCGGCAAAGTTCTTTTACTGGAGGATGTATTGGAGCCACCCTGGCCTCAAAAAGTCTCACATCAGGTGCAATCCAGATATGCAGAGCGACAGGCCAGACGAATACCTTGAAGCGATGATGTCGGCCAATGCACAGACGGATATCGTACTTGAAACGTGGAACACTAATGATCTTCGACCTCATCTTTGGTCAACATTTGCTAAGGATACGTGGACGTGGGACTTGATACGAGGACTTCAATCGCCGATGGAAGATGTGAATCTTGATGTGGTCTATGCGCTGAGAAAACATAAGGAGCTGCGGAGATGGCAAATAAATGTGCAGAGCTGGGATCTGGTCGAAATGTACCGGGATGGATATGGATACCCTCTTCTGGATGACATTGATCCAGATCTGTGATGTCGAGCCGCAGAATAGAGAAAGGAATGTCGTCCAGCGAGCAAGAGATGGAACCCACGCAGGTAGTGTGTTATCCACACTCTTCAGGGAAGATAAAATAATCCACAGATGGGAATAGCAAGTTCAATACAACAAAGTCTATATATTCCGATAGCGTACAGTACAGTCTAAAAAGAAACCAAAAGCGAAACAAAGAAGACGCGAATTAATGCTTTTGTCTCTGGGCGGAACCAATCGCACCAACAGTGAGTCATCAGAAAAAGATGGGAAATGAATATGTCTATCAGGGTCACAGGTGCAAAGAGAAATAACGACAATGATAGTGGGGGTTGGCATAAGGGGGGCGTAGCGGAACACATTATAGTGTCAAGGGAGGCATTGAATAACCAAAAGGGAAATGTAGTGTAGATGGCAATATTACAGAAGATCATCGAACCCGGGTGGAGATGTTTACTCCCGTGAGACATCACGACCGAAGAGACGAGCCTTGACCCAGTCAACGCAGACAAGGACACGGTTGCGAGCTGAATTATATGTTAGTGATGAATCTCAATCGGTGTTGGATAGAACTTGGAACTTACTGCTGAAGCACATGCTCAGGTAGGCACTGCGCCAGAACAGGTAGGTCAAAGTACCACCGCTGGCGATGTTGCCGCTCAGCCAGCTGATATCGGCCACGGCGCGCTCCTTACCGATGTAGGCCAAGGAGCCCTGGTGCGAGTACTGGAAGGGACCGATCTGCTTGTTGCGGCGGAGCTGCTTCTGGCGTTCACGGATCTCGTCGAAAATCTGGTTGCGCTCCTCGTCGCCCTTGGCTAGGGACTGGCGCTCTGAGAGGGTCTCTAGCTCCTTCTCGAGAGCCTCGGTCTTGGCCATGGTGTTGAAGAGGCGGCCCAAGAAGGCACCCTCCTGGCTAGCAACCTGGGCGGTCGGGGCGTAGTTGGCAATGGCGCAGTCGCCGACGGCCCAGACGTTATCGGTGCCGTTCACGACGAGGTATTCGTTGACAGCGAGACCGCGGCGGGACTCGGCTTGAGCGGGAATCTGGGACATGAGGTCGCGGACGACGCTGCGGATGGCGTTACCGGTGGCCCAGACGAGAAGACCGTAGGGGATAGTCTCGAGCTCCTTGGATCCATCGGGCCTGGTGACCTCGGCCTGGATGTACTTGTCGGTAACCTTCTTGACCATAGTCTTGGTGCGGATGGAGATCTCCTCCTCCTTGAAGGTGGATTCGGTGTATTCAATCAGTTGCTTCGAGAACATGGGCAGAACGTTGGGCAGAGCCTCGACGAGAGTGACGTGGAAGTTGTCCTTGATTTCGGGAATCCACTTCTTCAAATCATCGTTGAAGAAATCCTTTAGTTCACCGGCGAATTCAACACCGGTGGGGCCACCGCCCACCACAACCATGTGCAGCAGACGCTTGACCTCGTCCTCAGTCTGATCCTTGAAACAGGCAGTCTCGATACAGTCCATAATACGTTTACGAATGTTCTGGGCGTCACCGACTTCCTTCAGGAAGCAGGAGTTCTCACGAACACCGGGAATACCTATACATCATAAAATTAGTCCAAAATGCATCGTTTCAGATGCGAGAGAGAGTCCCACCAAATGTCGCGTTCTCGGCACCAACGCCGATCACAAGCATGTCAAAGGGAACCTCGGTGTGCGAGATATCACCCTTAATTTCCGAATCATCACTGATGTACACGATGCGCTTCTCATAGTCGATCTTGGTAGCCTCGGCTTCGTAGAATTGAACGCTGGCCTTCTTGTGGCGCAGGATATTGCGAATAGGCTCCATGATCGAGCGGTGCTCGATCAAACCGGTGGTACATGAGGGCAGCAAGGGAGTGAAAAGGAAGTAGTTACGGGGAGAGACGACGATAACGTTGTAGTTCTCGGTGTCAATTTTCTTCAGGAGGGAAACGGAGCCCCAGCCAGTTCCTGAACAAATATGGTCGCGTTAGCGACACTTCGGTCATAGGGAGTCAACGATCGCGACCGACACATACCGAGAATGACCAGAGTCTTCTTTGATGGGTCAGGGGGGGACTGGTCGGGGGGTTGACGGAGTTCGAGGATGCTGTATGCGACAGTACCGGTTAGACCGATGGCAGAGAGCCAGGTCAACCGCCAGGCCCAACGCAGAGCTCTGAAACGCTTCTTGGGCTTCGGGGCGGGCGAAGGGGCAGCATCAGCGTAGCTACGACGAGCAATACGCGACACAGACTGGGAAACTTTAGTAGACCGCATCGGCTTTGCGTGAAGAGCCAGCTGCGATGTCGACATCGACCTGCGCGTCATCGACGACAGCTGCATGATGGACGGAGCCATCTTGCGAATTGCTAGCGTGCTGCCAGCCATTGTGAGAAGGCACACCAAAAGTAGCAAATGGAATGCAGATGGGATAAAATATCAAGGGTGGAATAATTTAAGGAAAAAAAAAAGATTTGATAAGCTCCATCATCGCGTTGCTGTTTTGGGCGAATCGGTGTAGCCGGACCCAAAGGGGTAACCGTGTATCTAGTACTTGGCTGATTGCGTGCTATCCATAGTGAACCCAGGTACTGTCTACATTTACGTTCTTTTATTTCTGTCAATTTGATTATTTAATTGCTATTTATTGCTATTTAGGGTATATAAAGCTCTTAATCTCATAATATTTCATAGAGACTTATAATTCTTTACCGGCAAAAGCTATAATAGCCGCTTAAGTGCTTAATCACAAGCCAAAAAAGAAAAAATAGAAAATAAAATTGGAGAACTGAGGGGACAAGAAATCTCCCGGTGAGGAGAAATTACCCGCGGGGAATGCGAACTCGGTCTATCGGTCAGTGTTTCGGGGTAAAACCTGCCAATATTAGAATTAAGTGGACAAGTTTGATCTAGTAGATTGATATCTGACATAAAAACAACTTGTTCCATCACTAATTATCCAATTCCCCCCCCGTTTCCCCCCCTTAGCCCTAGCTTCCCCGACTCTTGACCGATATTACCCGCATATTTATTCCACCCGACCAAGTTTTGCTCTACGGAGTGCTGAATAAAGTAGGGCTCTGGTAAAATCTGGGGAAGTTCGAAGATCCACTTTCATCAATCCGGTTTCTCCCATCTAAGCTTGGAAATCCCGATAGGCCTGACATAGGAAAGGTCGGCCAAAATCGGCCTGTCATCGTCAGAGCTTAATTGAACTCGTGATGTGCTCAATCGGCAGCACTCCCGATCTTTCTCGCGATCTTTCTCGGATCAGTCGGACAATGTGACTGATACTTCGCCGTCTTATTACCGCTAAGAGTCGACATCAGCTCCGGGGGTAGCAAGGTCAGCGTTTCGTGACAAATTAGTACGACGCATCGTAGAAAACATGATGGGGAGTAGCTAGAAGCAGGGCACTTCAGGTATAAGTAGATGGTTTCAATATATGTCCTTCTCATGGTGCAAGCCAATATATCAGATGAGATATTGTCTCAGGAGCTTCCTTTTCATTGGCCAATCCAATGTTTGCAGCAAATAATATGTTTCTTTATGCTTATATTACCGAAAGGTAGATGAGAGTCATCCATTGATTCCGGGGCATAAAGGCTGCCATATGACCTCAAATCCCCAGAGTGTCAGCAGAACATGTATTACGTACAAGCCAGGAGATCTACCGAGACATCATGATCCGATGTGACAGACACTCAGGCATCAAGAGCAATGCTGACTTTACGATTGGAACAATGCAATACCATATCCAACCACACAACGATGGGATATCGTCTGTGAGATCCGACGTCAGCACAAACACAAAACCAACAACGCCAATCAACAGGAATGTGAGTGGGTATGATATGATATGTGTAGCACAATATATCATTCAACGGGGTTCCCAAGCCCTCTTATATATCACGAAGATAAGCAGTCCGACCCTAAACCAGAAAAAGAACAATACATTCAAACCCACCAATAACTGCAGCCCTGGCAGAGCCTAGACACGATGGATTCTACACGTATTTACAAGCGGCAGCCCGGATAGATTTCAAACACGGCGGCGTTAATAAATGCCCGCCTATCCGCTTACAAAGTATGCAAGTAAGCAGTGATGGAGGCCTGTAACTGGTGAGCCTGTCTATTGAGTAGGCTGAAACCCTGCTTGACAAGTGTACAGGTGTGATCATATACGGGTACGAGCATAATATCGCCCTTCTGTTAATTCTTTGCTCCCCCTCTGCTTGTCTACATGTCAAAAATCGGGATTGCATCTGGGTTGGTTGGGTACATCGGGGTATCCGTGTCGGACGAAGTATCATATCGTCATTGGAGAGTGTTGAAGGCATGGGTATGCAGGATGCGGCTTATATTGGTTTAGTATAGAATATCTTCAGTTGTACTGCCCTTTCTTTCTATCGGCTCTGTCTGGTCGGATTTGGCATCGCTTATGCTTCGGGTCTTCATAGGGTTCGTTTGTCTGTGTTACGAGGGACATATACATATAGCCGCACTGCGAGATGAGAATGTGGCCAGTCGGTTCATGAGATATTTCGGGTCCGGGAAATGTGAGGTTCCATTATAGGTATGGCGAGACCAGATTATGACGTTTCAGGTGCTGCTATGGCTTTGTGTCTGTATCTGCGGGCAAAGGCTGCATGTAGAACCCGGTGGTATTCCATTGGGGTTTCGCCTTGTCTGTCAGATTGGTTCTGCCTTGCTTTCTTCCATCAACGTTGATTGGTTATTTCGGTGGGTGCATTGGGTGCATTGTATGCACTTGTTTGATGGGAAGGATTGGTGTTGCCTTGAGTCTGTCAGCAGAAAGACTGCATCAGTTTGAAGAAGCAAGACATCAAAGTGGCATATTAATTGAGATTGGAGTCGATATCAATGGGTATGGCCAGCTATCCTCATTCGCAAATCAGCGATCTGAAATTTCTGGTTTCAACAAGATAAGATGATGGAGTAGATATCGGATAGAAGGCGACCATTGCTTGAATCATCAAAAGCGACGAGACAGACTC